AATAGAAAAATCAAGATTCCTAGTAAGTATATAATAGAAATCTTTAATTATTACTATAACTAAACACTATATAATAGAGACTATACTAAAATATAAAACACTATAAATAAAATCTATAATAATATAAACTTAAAAAGCTATATTTAAAATCTAATAGCTAACTATAAGAAATATAAACTAATTAAAACTATTATTTAAATATAAAGAAGTAAGAAACTTAAAGAATAAATAAAAGAAGCTAAGGCTAGAAAACCTTATAACCTGTAAGAAATAACCTTTAGTAATAGGAAAAGAGTATTATATATACTATTTATCCTAAATAAGCTTAGAGAAGAATTAGTATAAGATATATATAAATATCCCCTATATAGCCATTAAGGCATTATAAAAATACTAAAAAAAATATAAGGAAAATATAATATAAAGGGAATAAAGGAAATAATAAAGAAAGTTATTTAATAATATAATCTCTGCCTAAGAATAAAAGCTTAAAGATATAAACCTTATAGATAATTAAACCACTTTTAGTAGCATAACGACCTTAAGACTTAATTATAATAGACTTTATTATAAAGTTACCTTTATTAGAAAAACCCTTAACTAGAATCTTTTATAATAGCATTATAGTTATAATTAACTAACTTATAAAATTTTCTTATTATCTACCCTATAGGGAAGTAATAAATATAAAAGAACTTTCCTATGTTTTTTATTAATATATTATTAATATATATAAGTTACTTATAGAAATCCTTTTAGATAAAGGGCTTATATTTACAGCAACCTTTTAGTAATTACTTATAGCATAACTTAGACTAAATTACAAACTTATAATAGTATTTTAACTATAAGCTAATAGATAAACTAAATAAATAAATTAAGTACTTAAGTAATACTTATAGTATTATATTAATTATAAATAAAATAATTAGGTTAAGAAACTACTAATAGCCTAACTTGCTTATAATACTATATATAATAAAAGCATAAAGCTTATACTAGCTTATATTAACTTCGGATTTATACTAGATATATATTATAATATATAATAAGAAAAATCAGTTAACCTAGCTATTATACTTAAAAGTAATAACCTTAAAAACCTATATAAATAAATAAAAATAAAACTTGAATTTATTAGGAAATATATAAAAAACTATTATAACCTAAAATAGTTAAAGAGACTAACCTTTTTAAAGGGAGATATAATCTACCTAGTTATAAAAAATATTAAAATAAATTAACTAACTTATAAATTAAACTATAAATTTATTAAACCTTATAAGGTATTATAGAAAATTTCAGAAAATAACTATAAACTAGACCTACTATTAAAGGTTAGGCTCTATCTAATCTTTTATGTTGTATTACTTAAATTAGCAGTAAATATAATATAAGTTAAAATAGGCAATAAACTATAATAAATCACAAGACTAGAAGCCTATAAAGCAGAAGTAATTAAGAAAATAGATATAATTAATAAATAAAGAATATACCTAATTAAATAAAAAGATTACCTAGAAAATAAAAATATATAAAAAGCTTTAAAATATCTTACTAATACCTAATAATTCCTAAAGAATTTTTACTAATAATATTAATAAAAAAATTCTTACCTTAGTTAATAATATTAAAAGTACTTACTAATTAAGCTTTAATAGTAGTAAATAACTTAGTATTATTTACTATTTCTAAATTATCTATAGTTTTAATATTATAATAAAGCATCTCTTTATTATGCTCTTATAGCTGCCTCTTTTAATAATAAAGATGTATTAAATAACTTAATTATTTATTTACTTACTATTATAAGTTTATTAATTTAGTCTTAGCTAACTCTTCCTTATACTTTAACTAATACTTCTTAGTAGTAAAATAATTAGCTATAATAAGTTAATAATAGAAATCGCATATTAAGAAAAATTTATAAACCTTTAAGAATAATAATACCCTTACTATTATACTTATAACTATAATATATATATTATATATAATACTTATAACCCTCTTTAGCCTAATACTTCAAGTTTCGAGGTTTATAATAACTATAAGATATAATAAGAAAACTAGTATTTTTAATTAAAAATCGCCTATACTTTTTAATTATAAGTAGCTTTTAACTTTAATATCTTATTAATATAATATTAGAAGGATAATTATAAGTTTAAGTTAGACCTACTAAAAGAAAAATAGTTAAAATAAGAGTTATATAGGTCTTAGGGATAAAACCTAATAGAGGGGAGATATTATATTATAATCCTTATAGTTATATTACATAAAACCTATAAATTTTCCCTAATTAATTAATAACTTATACTTTCTCTTTATTTCTATTATAAGCTACTTAATAAGACTTATAATTAGACTTTTAACTTATATATAAGTACTAACTTATTATAATAAGTTACTATAAGTATATAAAATATATTTATTAGCACTTTTATAGATTCTAGCTTACTAGCTATTAATATAACTTCTTTATATTAATTAAGCCTAATATATATTAAATCTACTATTAAAAGATATAATACTTTAATAACGCTTAGTATACGCCCTATGCAATCTGCTAATAATAAAACCTAGCATGGCTTAGTTTAACAAAGTTAGACCTAACTATTACAAGTATATATTATTAAATTTTATTAGATTAGGCATTTATTAATAAGGAATAATATATATTAAAAAGAGGTAAATAAATTAGCATTAATGCGGTTTATTATTTTAGAAACAAAGGATATAAAAGTTAAGAAGCTACCTTCTCTTTAACTAGTTTAAAGGCCTTATTAAAGGTAGTATACTAATAAAAGATCTAAGTAATAACTCTAATTAGCCCGGCCCTCTTACTAAATCCTGGCTTTTACTAGGTTCTAAGTAAGCTATAAAGATATACTTAATAGCCTAGCAGATTTAACTATTAATTATATATTAAATGTTAAATATATTAAATACTATTTTAAATCTAGGGTTTTAGATTTACTTAACTTTAAATAAGATTTTAATATATTTAATTAACTTATTTAGTAATTTATTTAATTATCTTTAATTTATAAGTAGTACTAAATATAGATATTATATAAGAAGCTATACTCCTCCTAGATATATATAACTAAGAATAAAAAATAATTATATATTACTTATTAACTTTAATATATCCTAGATAGTTAAGAATTAATAAATAAGATAGAGATAATGTTATATAAAAGAGGTTTATAATATAGCATTATATATAATATTTACTTATAAGGTATATTAGTAAATTATAGATTTAATTTTAAGTATATTTAATAAATATAAAAGGTTAATTAGCCTTTAAAGTAAATTAATATATATATAATAATTAATAATTTATTAATTAAATACTTTAATATATACTTATAGAATCTTTATCTAATTTGCCTATTTATTTAAATAGTATAATATATAGCTAATTAGCCTATATTTAAATTAATTAATTCTTTCCTAAATAAAGTTATATATTACTAACTATAAATATAATATATGCTTAGCTATTTAAGAGGCAGAGTCTTATGGGATTTGCACCACAGCTTAAAATAGTAGTATTCCTCTTTAGATATTAAATGGTTAATATAATGGATTGTCTAGCTACTATTCATTGGATGGAAAAGTCCAATCTCTGGCTGCTGCACAAGACGAAAATATAATTAACATTATCCTTATAAGGGATAAAGCTTTCCAGCCTCTCATAAAGCAAGAAACAGTTAATTTTGCACAGGTCCTGTCGTCTCTCAACGGGGAAGTCAAATACCTCGGCAAGAACTGGGACGATAGATTCTTCCCTCATCATCCAAGTATCGAATTAAAGCCATCACGGGTCGTTGACACTGCGAGGAAGAGATGTGCGGCACAGGAATCTCTCCAAGAGTACTACGGTGGCTTATACTGGATAATAAGGGAGAAACTGGCCGGAACTTCACAAATCTACAACGTTAACGAGACTGCAGTACAGAAAGGGGAAACTACCCTCGGCATAGTAGCCGGTATGGTCCTCACCTCTATCTCTGAGAAGATAACCTTGGAGCAGTATACTCGAAGCTATATTTGCCGATGGCCGGCATCGTACTCCTTATGTTGTATTTGCTGAAATGAGCTTCAGAGGCAGTGGTTTCCTAAGCTTCTCCCCTATTAGAAGTGCGCTACGAGTCCCACGGACTGGAGCAACGCAGATATCTTTATGAGATGGTTTATCAAGGCATTCCTGTAGGAAACAGAGCCGCCACACCCGTCCCTTTGAAGGATTTTAGTCAACCAACACAGTTCACATATAACTGCAGAGTTAATAGAAAAAGGCTTGGTTACATAACGTTTGGCTCAGCTGGCTTCCCTCACATTCATCACATATTACTAAACCTCTCAATAATACGGTATTTGGCCCGTTAAAAACGTGCGATCACCAGTTGATAAGGAATTAGGGAGCTTACGAGGCGACATCTCCACGACAGCAACAACTCTTTTTAGAGGCTTACCAGAAGGCCTCAGCAAGAGCTATAAATCGCCTCAACATCCGGAGATGGTTTAAAGTGGCTGGAATCTATCCTGTTAATGCCACCAAGGCATTAGAGGCGTTAAAGCCTAAGGAGAAGCAACGTTGCGGATCTTTCGGTCCTACAACACCAAGGAGGCTGCCTATAGTTTCAGATACGATCTAGGGAACTCGCCAAGGAAGTGAAGATATCAGAAAATAGCTGGAATCGGTCCGGAAGCAAGGACGTAACTCAATTCGTGACCTCAATATTAGGCAAGTAGAGTTAAACTCTGGGGATATAAGAACAAGGCGTCCAGCTCGTTGTTAAGGTGCGTATGGAAGAATGGAAGACTAATCATAAGGGCCTTCCCAGCGTATGACATTTTCAAGTGGAGGTTGCATCTAATAAGAAAGGAAAAACTATTCATCATTACATTATACATGTAAATAGCAGTAATTATATCTCGAGGTAGTTAAGGCATCTATGGTGAAGTCTAAACTCGACAAATTTACACACCTATTTAGACCTAGTGGTGAGGATAACGTTTCCCGACTCCAGGTTGTCGGTAGATGCTAAAGAACAGTGCTTGTCCTTGACGAACTTAGGCCAAGTATTTGTCAAGACCAGATATTTGATACTGGCCTCAGCATCATCAAAGATGCTGCTATCAAAATCCTCTGGGATATCTCCCCAGTAGAGAGCCCTATCACTAACTTCTATTGAAGCAGTGATGATTCCGTTTTCGGATCCATGGGCAGACGCACCAGAAGAGTTGACATTGGCTGGTGAGGTCATCATGAATGATTCGAAGGGCAGAGCGGGGTCTACTGCGCGTTTCTCTCCATAAAGAGTCCTAGCCGATGCCTCAAATACATTCTCGAGCTTTCGTAGGTCTTGAGATGAGAGGTTCACCTGGAATTCGGCATCTCGAGCGCTGATAAAGTTAACATAGATGCGAAGCGCGCTGTTGAATCGTTCATAGACAAGTTCTTGAGCCGCGGAATTCTCTCGGCTCTTTGGATCTCGGATAGAGGCAGGAAGAGATAACTTCCACTCGGTGATAGCTCTAAGGAAAGCAATATTCTCGCCGGAAAAGTCATGAAGGGCAGAAAACTGTTGAAGGGGCTCTGGGTTGCATTCAAGGACATATTCAAGAGCCCCCATAGTAAAAATACTTTCATTAGAGATCTGACTTCTGATAGACCTAGCAGTCCGCGACGAGCCTGCCAGCGTCGTCGATCTAGTGGTAATAGATTTCGCGCTGCCTTGGGCTAGGGTCTTGTTAGACTCCCAGTGAGCAATAATATCGAGAGTTTCTTGTTGAAGGGACTGGTGTTTGAGGACCTCCCAACAGGGAAGGAAGATAGTAAGGATCTCAAGAATCATAATGGAGAGGGCGATCCTGGGTCAAGTTAACAAGATGCATCACGCGAACGGGGCTCTGACTTAAACGTACCATTGAGGAGGAACGAAAACACTATTAACGGGTGCCATGGCAGGGATATAGAGAGCGATAAGCCACATTGGAGCGGCGTGGAGGTTAGCCAAACAGCATGCAATGGTTTGAACTCTCCATCCTAGGGTATCGCGGATGTTTCGAGACTTCCATAGAATAATTGGAGCGATAACCCAAGCCCAGACTAGTTGCCAAACAATAGAAGGCCACCTAAACATGTGTTAGCGTCCTGGATGCCAGTAACTGAATTCTTGGTAAGATTAATATACCATTCCCAACCTTTACGGGCTGCTGCCATTCGCTGCGAGTCTGTGCCAGTAACCTCTGTGCCGGGAATTCCAAACGAGTTGTGAAACTTGCGCGAAACGAGGAACATGAAGATAGTTAAGAGGAGCTATATTATGTAAGTCTTGCCCGTCTAATCATGGCTTCAAAATTTCCTACCTGGAATAGCATACCAAGGCCGACAAGGACCAGCATTCTAATGGTATAATCGAGCCTGCAATAACGCCCAACCAGGCCACGTTTATGAACTCGTTCTGACTTTGGCCCAGCATTATCGCCAGCGAACAACTTCTTTTGAGATTTAGCAACGTAAAGGAAGCGACTATTGGAAGCATGGAATAAAGCGACGCCAAATGGAAGCCAGATGCTCATGATCCAGAACTCAATAGTGGGCGGGAAGAGAAGCGCGACGACGTAAACCCACTGAACGGCGAGCCAGTAGAAATGGAGTAGAACAACAGCACTAAACGAAAGAAGAAGGCCGCGAATTCTAAGGATTGGCATATTACGTCGACGATAGAGAAATACCATGCCAGCAACCAAGAGGACGGTCCAGACTGTCGAGAACACGATCCAAAAGGTGCCTAATCCTTCGAAACGGGCATGAGGCTTCTCCTCGTCTCTCCGCGTTAACCCCAAAGCCGTATTTATAGAACTAAGGTCCATGGCTGGTTCTGAGGAAAACAAGATTTTTCTGGGTCTTAAGAGGATTTAAGACGAGAGCTTTAAATGAGATCAAGGAGATATTTGTTCTGTTATAAGGAATGTGTGGAAAGTAATGTAGTACTTAATAATAGGTATAGAAGTAGAGACAAAGGAGTTTTAAATACTTTCATGCAGTTGGGGTTAATAGGCGACTGGCGGCAAGCAAATGCTTCTACACACACATGATGCTCTACCTACATGAGAAAATTTGTGTCAGAGCGCCCTTGGAGAAAGAAGAATAAAGCCCAGTAAGTGGCAGAAACGTGGCTTCCCCTAGCCCCTGACGCCCCAGCAGGTTAGCTACATCACTTCTCACATTCGCTCCCCTGGCACTCCAGTCTCGTGAGCCTACGCTTAACTCATTTCAACAGTCGGGCCCCAAAGTGTCAACCCGCACTCATGGGTCGTGCTAATCCATGGGTCAACTGCATGGAAGTGCCGAGGCCCGAGCCTCAAAGCTCAACTCCACATGTCCCGGATAATGGTATGTGCGATAGTTCGTTGTTTGTGGTGCTCGGACGCAAGATAACCACGCAAATCATACTAAACGATTGAGTAACGCTCAGCAACGTTCTGGTAGAGTGGGTTCCCATGAACAAACCAGTCAATCAGCTGGGTCGGGATAGTATCCGACTGGGTAAGCCACAGTTTTAAAATCGTCATTGTGACAGGTAAATCAGCCCAGTAAATCAGCCCGGTGTGGTGGGGGCCTTATCTATGTTTAATGGAAAAGATTGCAAAAACCGGCTAGACTCGCGAATTCTTATATCTCCTTCTTACATAAGGCTATTACTATATTCCCTTATTAAAAATGCTATTAAAGAATTTAATAGCAGTTTAATTAAGCTGTAGTTAATATGTTTTACTTTTATACATATTAGCTAATAGTTTTATAACTTTCTAACCCTATTATTTAATAAATTAAGGTTAAAAATAAGATTTCTACTTATCTTATAGGCTTAAGGTTATATAGTATTTTCTACAGATTTAATAAGTTTAAAGCTATAATATACTATAATATATTATACTTTAATTATATATATAGTAATATAAGTTAGTTTATTTAAGCTTATAATAAGGTAAAAGTACTTAAGCTTAATTTTTACTATTCTTTTAATTAATATAAACTTCTATTTTATATTTTATTTTACTTAACTTTATATATAAAATAGTTATAAAAGCTATAATTAAGTATTTATTAATTTAATTATTTTCTTTTTATATTATTATTATATTTTTATATATCTCTTAAACCTTAAATTAAATAGTTATAATAGCTTTATTATATATTTAAGATATATTTAGAAAATGCTATGTTCTTACTAATTTAAGCTTTTAAAAGTAATTATAATAAAGATATATAATTAATTAAAGGAATATTACTTAAGATTTAAGGAATAAAAAAAGTCTGCCTAAAGGTTTTAGCCCTAATTAGGAGTAAACCATCCTGCTCTCTTAATTAGTATAGTGGGGCTTAACTAATTGGTATGTTTTACTCTTGAAAACCTAAGGGCATAAAGACATAATGACCTAAAGCCCTATACATTTCCTGTTCCGGCCTGTGGCAGAACTCCCCACGCTCTGAGTAATAAAGTGGCTCCGAGCGAGATAATCCCTTGTTATGTAGAACGCATCCAGGCTTCTGGGGGTCAGAGCGGCTGTGGACTGAGCGTTAAGCTGGTTTAGCACCTAGTGGCGGTGATGGTGTGACATACTCTTAAGCCATTAGGATTAAATCCTCTGATGAGCCTACAGGTACTGGCTATAAGTATCTCCTAATAGCTTCAATTTGGCCCTGAGAATGGCCCAGCGGAGACAATCCTTTGAAGGTAGCAAACAGATTTTTAAAGTCATACGACTTTAGAGAATGATCAGACGAAGGCAATGAGGTTTCTTAGGTGCGTCTCCGCTTATGCAGGCCGCACCCAAAGCAGAAATTTCTGAAACCTCGTGGTATACAGGTGTGCAGAATGATTGGTCTCATTTGAGAGTACGCACAGGCGTGCACGGGCTTGCGGGAATGGGGAGTGTCGATCATTAACGCCACTATTGAAGTTTCAGTCAGCCACATTCAGAGTTCAGACCTCGCCGATTAAATCGGACGAGGAGGTCCGGGAGTCCGTCCTATCACTAGGTTAATTATCCCTAACTTAACAGCTGCCTCCGGCATATATTATTTGCAAAAAAATGAGAGTTAATAATAGCGTACTTAAGCGCTAACTCCATTCGGGATAATATACTGCGTAGTTGTAGCCGGCTTTAGAGGTTCTTAGTATTTATATTGTTGCTATCTGTAACTGTATTTATCGCGCTGTTTTGCATTATGTTGCGCCCTGCTTGACTTTCTAAATGCTATCTCTGTAATGTTAATAAAGATTATAAAGGTTATTAGGCTTGCTTAAGGTGTATGCCTGGGCCGCGCTAGGGACCTTAATTACTACCATATTCCTCTCCTCTTTAGGTAGCCGCTCTTATTCCTGCCGCTGCCATCCTCATTATTATTATTGTTAACTTTATAGTCTTCTCCTTCCCCTTAAAGATATTTCTCTTGTACTCTAAGGGGGTCCTTAACGGAGTTCTAAAGAGGCTTGTTAACACAGCTCTAGTCTTAGCATCTAAGTTATCTTTATGTCTAGGCTTGCTTACTTATTAAATAGATTATTATTTATTTTTATAAAGTTACTTAATTAAGAGGGCTTAATATTATATCCTTTGTATATCTTAATGTGACAGAAAGTTAAAGCTAAAGTCATAAACAACAGGGTTGAGACTATTCCCAAACTCCCCCAACTCTTCGAAGTCCAGATTTCTAGCTGGAACAATTCCAGGATCCAACAGGCCCAAGCCAGCAATTGGATCCTCTATACTTATATCATCAAAGCCTTGTGCTGCCTCGCTTCCGACAACGGGAAGTTCACGATATAAATTTAACAAATCTGGCTCATCCCGAAAAGCCAATGAGGGAACAGACAATCTCTGATCCTGAGATTCAGCCAGAACCTCGGTGACTGGCGTATCGCTTGTTGGGAAATCCCTGCGCTCCGATGGGGCTAACAGGCTCGGCAAGACTTCGTCAAAGGCATTCCAGACTGCAGAAGATACCATTTCAAAAAGCGAACGCTCAGATACTTCGGAGCTAAACTGAAACCCTGGCATATTTCGTACATTGGCGTTTATATCTCGTATCACACGGGCAGGAACTTCTTGTCGGAGAAAGCTGCGATATTGAGCTCGCGCTTCTGCAGTCATGGGCGCCTCGAGGGTTTGCAAGTCACAATCTGGACAGAGGTCAATAGAACCCTTCTGAGTAAATGTCCCAGATAGAACTTACATGGTGATGGTATATCTTCGGTTTCTGGAAATAGAACCTTGTACATATGCTTCCACTTTTCCTCTTCGGAGATATTCTGGATGCCCCGCCTTGACTTGAGACGCTCTTTAGTCTCGTTATTGATACCTGGCATTTCTCTGGATGGATTGACGACTTCGCAAGCCGGTTCTTGACGGAGATGGGCATCAAGTTCTTTCTCTGTCTTGACTATGGTAAAACATCTCTTGCAATGAATTGGCGCTTTGTGAGAACGATAAATATGCTCCCTATTGTAGTTAGCCAATTGTGTCTTTACTGTAGTATATAGGCTTGTGCACTTTATCCGATGTACACTTGGCCAGCCCTTTTGGCACCGAGGCCATTTCTTTCCGGGATATTCTTTAACAAAGGGGCAGGCGAGATTTGGTACTGATCCTGATGGCGCGTTTTCTGTTTTGCGACGTTTTTCATGATCATCTCCGTTTCCTCTGCCGCCAGTATTGGTATCATCACCTTCATTCTCGCTATCATCGATTCCCCTCTTCTTGTTATTGCCATCACTTTCAGCCGGTGGACCATTTTGACCACTAAATTGCGTAGAGTCAGAAGGGCCTGTATTCCGGTTGAGCCCTGGCGAGCATGTTTTCACCCAGTCGACAACCCGTTGGACTACCAGTGCAGTGACTGTTTCTTTCAAGGCGGTGACAGAAGGTAGAAGGACTGGGTCCAGAGAAGCAGCGAGAAAAGCTTCTTCAAAAGACTCATCTGTTTGTCGTGAGACGTCAGACATGGACTCGTCGGTTTCGCTTGTATCAGTCTCTGCCACAGATGTGTCAGGAGTATTCCCATGTTCCGTAGCATCTTTGCTAGAGAGAGTTGCAGAACGAACATCCATTGTGGTCTCAGTTCTCGTCCCTGTAGATGATATCATTCCTTTGGCTGGATGGATCCGTGCGCTGGAGAGGTGGCCTCTATCAACGTGATCATCCATACTCAGTCTACGCATCGACTCACTCGAGAGTCCTGCATCTGAGAGCCGTTCTTCTATGGTGCTCAACTCCTCGTCGGGGTTCTCCTCAACCTGAAACTGTCCACCAACAAGCGACGATTGTACTTTTGGTGTATTGAATGATGAAGAGAGGAGCAGACCTTTGTTCAAACGACGCTGCTGGGCAACCCAACCAGCCAAGGCCACCTGATCAGACACGGTCAACGAACTATCCTTAGTTGATACAAGGGACGTGATTGACTCAGTGGGTTCTGAAGCAGCGATGAGTTGTTGGTATACTGGAACATTTGCCGATGCCGAGAGTCGTTCCTTGGTTTGCGGGTCGAGGTACGGGATAGGCGGCACAGGAGTCTTGTCATGATCTCGATAGTTACGTAACGATTCACGGTATATGTTGAGAGATGAAGAGGATGACAGGGTCTTTCTGAATAGCGATCGTCTGCGGGAAGGCGTGGAACTGGCCCTGCCAATGGACGAGTCGTAGGTGCTAGCTGCTGAGATTATGGAAGAAGGCCGTGTAAAGCTGAAGGTCGAGTCTCGGGCAGACGTCGAGGCTTGAAATGTGTCCTCGGAAAGTCTTCGCAGAAGGTCGAGTTCGGATGGGTTGTATTTAGCGAAAGAGAAATTCTGGCCATACTCGGGGATATTTGTATTACAAGATGAGGTCACTGGTTGACTCTGAAGCAAAATATCAGCATATAGATTAGTCCGAAACAGAAAAAGAGGTTACAAACCAGGCTGCGCCGACGTATAACATCGTCTTTTTCTGGGCCACAATTAACATGGTCGGAAAAAAGGTAAGTGGGAATTGAGCATTCATCTACCTTTCAAATCTATGTCGTACGGGCCCAAAATCAACGCAGATGCCGGCCTGTTGGCAACGTCGTATTGGCTACCCACTCCCGTGAGCTCACCCAAATGTAGAGGCAGGATAGGCGTCGAGGTAACTCTTTTCCTTCTCACCCCCGGATAGCCCTTGATCCATCGGTGATGGCTTTCGGGTTTGTCTGCAGGGCCCTCTGCATCGGTCCCGTCTGTCGTTGGCTTCAAATAAAGATCATCCGAGAGAGAGGCCGTTTGTTCTACAGGATGTTGGTGTAACCCGGTCGGCTCTTGTACAATGCTGTGCGCATTCGAACCGGTAGAGCTATTGTCCCTCGGAAGATCCAGGTCATTGTCCGCTGTCGGCGAGGAATTTCCTTCCTTCCAAAGAACCGCCATCTTCTCTTTGAGGGTATTAGACATCAACCGAGAGGAAGGCCGTGCTTTGGTGTAAGAGGGGAGCAAACCCGGGGCTTTGTTCAAGTAATGTCTTCCTTTGTGCTTGAGACGCTCACGCAAGGATTGAGGCTTTGCATCCGTGGTTTGTTGGCTCTTTTCAGGCCTGGTCCTGGGTGCCATTTCGGCAGCTGGCGGTTTAGACGAGGACATGGCGGGCGGGTATAATAATGGGCTTTGATAGGGCCAAGGCGACGGCGTTACACTCGTACAGTACAATTAAGTCGGTAAAGAATTAAATGCGCGGATTAGTATGTGAGGTGTACAAAGGGAAAAAACAACTGTCGTCAAAGTGGCTCAATGTCCATGTTTCGGTAATGTTGCTAACCGCCCCTGGGTCGCCTGGAGCGGCTGGCTAGGCTTTCTGCTTGAGCCATGGTTCGCAAACTGCAGCCTACAAGGCGTTCAGGCGACCTGCATGTCGCATCATATCATTTGGGTATAGAGTGATAGGCTGAGCAGGGGTATAGAAACAGGGTGGTGGGGTTCTCCTGTAGTTTTGCGCATGCGCATAACTGGGGATCGCAGAACAACAGGCCGCAAATATTTACTTCTGTAGAAATAAAGAAAATGAATGTTCAGCAAAAGGGGACATTGCGTAGAAGTGGCTAAGCAATATATACTGCGCATTACGAAAAGCTAGCTCGCAAATGAGTATGCAAGGCAAAGTATACCAATATGAGATTCCAGGCCTACATAAGATCTACTGAGGTCTTCACGACAAGAGAAGTTCCGGAATCCGGAAGAAACCAAAACAACAAGAATTCTTATAAATGTTGTAATCTACTCCATGTAAACAATGCCAACCCCATCGTCAAATGTTTCAATATTACCAAATCAGGGGTCATCCTCCTCTGTCACAAGGTTTGTCTGACATGTCCCATCAATTAACTGAACCACTCGTACTCACCCGTCCAGCAGTGACACCACTAGGACGTCCGCGTCTAGCGTTGGCCTCTCGCCAACTATGTCGCGCTTCCTTGGGGAACCGGTCTCTGTCAATGCATACATTGCATGCGGAGGCAGTGGCCAAACGAATTAAGGATGTAACTACCAGTCGTTTACATTAAGCCTCGGCTGTGTACTATTACGATCATGTAGCCTTGAAGTGTTATCTATAGTGTATTTTAATTGGGAGATAAAACTTATTATGTAAAGTCAACCAGCATAGTAATAATTAATATATAATTAAGCAAGTATACATACTAACACATATTAAAGCTTCAGCCACGCTGCAATTATTTAGTTATGTATATTGAGCTTGCAAAACTGCCAGTATAAAACAATGCGTTTAACAGGATTTACTTAAAGATCCTACATAATTACATCTAAACTTTCATACTCAGTTACCAAATCCGCCATATTTGCAATTCCACAAGTCCATTCGCATTGATATCTTGCCAATTCCTAGCCAAAAGTTTACACTCTTAAGAGCGTCATTACTTGAGTCGCAGTAAGCTTGGTGGCTATCACTCCTTCATTCCTCAAACCTAATAAAGATGAGGAATCCCGAGGATATTATTGGCAGCACATTTCGTGAAAGCATATTTCACAGTCCCATAACCTTATTCATCAGATATCTTCTTGAAGGGGGCGCGTTTGTTGTAGAGTGCAGATAAGGTAGCCCCTGCTTCGAGGATAATAACTTTGCAGTTTTGCAACAGTTCTTCGAATTCAGCGCAGCCCGTAAGTTCGAGGACGGGGGGCATTTTGGGCAAAGGTAATTGAGAGATATTTGATTGAGTGTGCCAGGGTCAAAATAGGTAGTGGATATTTTAATGCGGGGAACGGAAAGTTTGAGGGATGTGAGAAATGGATGACTGGGTTTATAATAAGTGCCCAAAGACCTCAACAGCCGCTGACGGAAGACGCATGCTGCGCCACAAAACACCATACGCGGACTGGTTAGCCCATAACGCAAGCTCGTGAGTTCTTATGTAAACAGCTCTCCATATCAATTCGTGTGCATACAATTTTATCCAGTTTCCCTCGTCGAACCACATTGACCAGTATTTGGAGGGGAGGGGATACATGGCAGCCCAGCACGTCGTTAGAGCTGTGATTTTGCGCTGGCGGGGATAGTCGGCAGATAAGCCCGCTGGCTCGCGTAAGGATGTTTGTTTACACCGAACCCCGCAATCCTCACCCCAGCTTGCGGATCTGACTTCCGCATTCTTTGTTGCCATTAATGGGACAGTTCCACAGGCCTATAATCACCTTAAAAGCCCCCTCATCATTTCCAAGACGATGTGCAAATCGAATCATAGGGTTCAGCCTTGAAACCCCAGAACTTGTTTCATCTCCTGTTCACGCCGTTACAATGCCATCCTCAAAGACACCCTTAGAAGTTAATGATATCACCATCACCAGCTTCACCGTTACCGATATTAGGTTCCCCACTAGTCTCGACGGAGTTGGCTCAGATGCTATGCATGTTGGCACGAATGGGTCGCATCCATACATTCAACTACATACCGATCACGGTGATTTAATTGGTGAAGGCATTGTCAGTCCAGTTGCGGTCAATACCAGTAGGGTTAATGCTAATGGTAAGATAGGCTTTCAGCAACGGTCGAGGAAGTGAACTCATTTGTATGGCTCTGAACATCTTCGCGAAGCGCGTAGTTGGAAAGACAATGCATGAGTTGACTCGCAACATGGGCAAGACCTGGCGATATATGGTCTCTGACTCCCAGTACAGATGGATCGGTCCTGAGAAGAGCGTCACACATTTGGCTGTTGCTGGCGTACTTAATGCTGTTTGGGACCTCTGGGGCAAGATATTAGGCCTTCCGGTATGGCAGATCGTGTGTGAGATGAGTCCCGAGGAGATTGTCCGCTGCATCGATTTCAGGTATATCACCGATGTCATCACACCAGAAGAAGCCACCAGTATGCTCCGAAAGACTGCCAAAGGCAAGGAAAAGCGGCTGAAGGAGGCGTTCGATAATGTTGCCGTACCAGCCTATACAACATCAGCGGGATGGTTGGCATTCTCTGGCGATAGGATGAAGGAGGTTTTGCATGAGACGTTGGCCCAGGGATACAAGGTCTTCAAGTTCAAAGTCGGGACCAGCATCGAGGCCGATAGAGAAAGACTGTCTGCTGTGAGAGACGTCTTGGGTTACGATAATGATTACCAGATCATGATTGATGCTAACCAGGCAAGTGGTCACTCCGCTTTATGATAGCCGACACTAACATTGAAAAATAGGTCTGGAGCGTTCCCGAGGCTATTGAGTACATGAAGCATTTGGTGGAGTTCAAGCCGGTCTTTATTGAAGGTATGCCTCAATTTCGTTCAGCCAGCTAGAAATACATTATTGACTCTCTGCAGAACCCACAAACCCCGACGACGTGCTGGGACACGCAGCAATTCGCAAGGCGCTGAAGCCATATGGCGTCGGTGTTGCCACAGGCGAAGCAGCACAAAACAGAGTCACTTTCAAACAGTTATTGCAAGCGGAAGCAACTGATGTTGCCCAAATTGATGCTGTCAGACTTGGCAGCGTAAACGAATGTCTTGTGAGTCCGCACAAGGATTGTTACTATAAATTCACGTCCCAAGCTAATCATCCTCGTTCTAGGCCGTCATGTTGATGGCCCTCAAGTTCAATATTCCATGCGTTCCGCACAATGGTGCAATGGGCTTGACAGAACTCACATCCCATCTCAGCACGATTGACTATGTTGCTATCAGTGGACGCAAGTCAATGCTGGAAAATGCAGACAGCCACCGCGAAAACTTGCGACATCCCTCCAAGATTGTCAATACTCACTATGTCACGCCATTGTCACCTGGTTACTCTACTGGCTACACTGATGAGGCGCTCGAAAAGTATACTTATCCTGATGGCAAATTCTGGACATCTGAAATCGGGTTAAAGATTATCGCACAGCCCACGGGCGGCGAGCTATAACATTTAAATCAACTCCTCTTATACATCAATCAAGTTCTATATTTCAACACCCCGTTCTCTTACATAGTGCCGTGAAATTCAATCCGGACAATGACATGAACAGCGTTATCAAGATCCTAGATCGTTCAGACTCTTGATCGAAGACGTGTCTTCCTCCTTATCTCCTCAAGTATTGCCAAAACATCAGAGATACTGGAAACATTCCATTGACTCAGGTTATCAATGGCCAGACTTTGTAGGCTGTCCACGTCAGGAATAAAGCACCGGAGCTCTGAATTGAGCCACGACAATGTCAGTATGATCACAGCCCCGAGCGTCCTGGCTTGATGATTTAGTATAAGTAACTGCAGCCTGACACAAGTTACTTACGACAATGCAAACGTCCACGTGTATTGACTTGGGGCCCGAAGTATTTTAGCGGTGTGGTAAAGATACAAGCTGCAACTTTCGATGCAAATACCTGCCTTCTCGATAATGGCACTTGAAATCTGTGAGCTCGTGTGTGTTGCAACATGGAGAACAAAAGGCCGATATATGATATGTTTTGCAGCAAAGTATCGAATTCTCAATATAGATATCCTGTCATTGTCTAATTCCTCAAGATTCAGTGGTGGCCGGAACTGCTCGGGGATAGCTGCATGCCACAAGTCGAGTTGACTGTGCAGTTCCTCACAGACAGAGGTTATCGAAGTTAACTCGTCAATAGAAAACTCTTCTGGTGCCATGAGTGAGGTCGAAGAAAGAGACGTGTTGAGAGCGTTTGGTGTTCTTGGATACAGGGAGTTGTGTATGCGGTTTAAAAGTCGTCGGATAGATATTTCGGCCAGATACGCTGTCATGTGAATATCATCCAGATTCTCACATCGGGGTAGGTTCGCATCATCAGTCAATTTTTGAAGACTGCTTCTAGGTAGCTCTAGCTCTGCAAGCCTGTCACATTCGATGATAAAGCAAGACCAAAATAGCCGTAGGATATCTACTTCGGTATTGAGCGTTTGCTTTTGGCAATCCAAGCTGGTAATCTAATCAGCAATTAACTCTCCGACAGTTGGAAACTCTGACCTTGAAAGTTTCAGTTGTAAAAGATTGGTAGCCAAGTATATGAGTCGCCAGCTATGAAGCGGACGGACGATATACGCAAAATAGACACTCGCCAGTACAAGTGCCTGAGCTAGTGCGAGATCGAAGGAAAACAACCATAATGAGCGGAGCATGAGCGTCGGTAGAGCATATTTCATGTATTTCGTACCATTGAGAGAGGTTTGCGGATCGCATGAACCTATTGGCAAGCTGGAAACGGCACCAAGAGCAAACACTGTCATGCATAAAGCTGACTCTGTGCTCGAGTCTGCCCCCTTTTCCAAGAATCTTTCGTAGATCTCTGTGAACTCTGCTTGATCAAGTACTGGATGGCTAACGTGTACTGACGAGAAGAAGGTAGCAACTAGGTGGTCAAGTAACGATCGTTCCATTTGGAAAGGAGGCAACGAATTCTGCCACTGCTCCGGAGACAGCTCCGGCGGCAGAGGACTCTGGCTCTCTAACAGAAAGAACAGGTTTGTTGGATATTCACCCACTAGAATTTTCACAGCTGGGAGACCCAGGAGGTAACTTGACGAAGTCTTGTGCTCGGCCGGAATATTCATCGGTTCAGATGCAACTACATCTGACGGCTTTCTCATATGAGAGGAGAATTGCGGAGACTCGTCGTCAGTAGCTTGCGTCCCATTCGTAGAAGCACTCATTGGTGATCCATCACTTGCATTGGATGTAACGCCGTGCAATAAGCTGACGCGAGAAGCTGGCTGAGAATGGTTTAGGGAGGATAAGACTGTTAAGTGCTGCTGTTGCTCAACCAGTATGTCTTTGATGTCTTTCAGCCGACTTATTATTTCCTTTGTGCCTCCAGAAGTATCAATTCTGTTACACGATCGTTAGACCCTGCGTTCAGTATAGATCATGACATGCCCATACCTTTGCGAGGGGCCATCATCATAATGACAATCCACTCCTGACCTGGTGCAATTATTGCATCTGGGTTTGGTGGCGTCACATCGCCGTTTCCTAGTGCCAGCTCAGCAACTTACGCATCTATCTTTTGTGACAGGCAGCTTACCGGTGGCGGCAATAAGTACATGCCAATGCTACCCTCTGCCGATGGAAGCTCATGTTTGGTTCTGGAGAAGCATATATGGCCGACAAAAAAAAAGTTACAGTAATTAATGTGCGTCTAAAACAGTATAACCCCGCATCGCCGGACCCGACGGGACGGATTTATAATGCACCGGTCATGTGTGTCTTGGAAAGATTTAAGATTGAGAATACTCTCATTCATCTACATTGGAAATGCATATTCAACAGCATAATGGCATGTTGTAAAGATCAGTAGGGCATTTGTCTTGGAGACAGATAAATGACGAGATGTTAGATGTGGCCGGCTGGTATAAGCTTACCTGATTGATGATTGACCATTGATTTAATATGAGGATGCCGCCATACCCAGTTTTCAATTTAGGCCTTGAGAAGAGCATCTATTGAAACAGTACATATTATAAACATTTTCGCTCTCTTTCCATAGATTGAGCATGCTTTAAGAGTTTAAAAACTAACAACAGGGGAACTAATTATTTGTTTTCTTTAAGTGTTATTATTTGCCTGCTAAGGATACCCTACATCAAATTTCCCAAGGGTGCCTACGCCCTAAACTGCTTGAGGCCATGAACGTTACTCGGTTCGCCAATGCCGCCTACACCCGCTTTCTGCTTGGGTTTTCGCTGCCGCTTATCCGCGTCCAATCATAAGAACCTTTCAAGATCCGAGCGTTCTTGTGTTTCAAATGATTTGACTGTCTTACTTTCTGTGGGCCATCTACCCCTCCCTCTCTAACTTAACCTATTTAGAATCGCATATGTCTTGCCAGCTTGCTTACCAGGCTTTGTCTGCAAGCATAAGTGATTAGTGCCCTATCAGTCAGAACAGACTACTGGGGCGTAATAAATTGTATTATATTCTATTGCTCGGAAAAACATTATTGAAATGGTTCGAGACAAAGAACAAACCCCTTCTTTGCAGTAGAGTTCGAAGCAACATCAATGGAAAGAAAAGAACCTCGATCTGGTGCCAAGGTTGAAGGGTCTCTGCGCGCTATGCAGAGAATCCATAGACATTAAGCTATATTTTAAACCATCACTTATACACAGGATTCACATATAGATAACATTGCAGCATTTTAAGAAGCCCTCTTCTATTATCTAAAAGAAGTTTGGGATAACATTAGGGAAGAGATCCTGGTGAAATCTTATGACACAGTGCCAACCATCGGCGGAACCATATTTACTCCCTATGGCCAGTTTCCAAAATTCAGTTCGATACTTCTCAGTTCGCACGATCATGAATTTTGCATATCCTTTACCTGCGTGATCAAGTCGATAACAGTCCTTGTGAAAGGTATGTAATCGAGACCTAATTCCTGACCAGCCGTCTCCCCATCCACGCCGTGAGACTCATCGGGAGCTTGCACTTCTTTCGACACATTATCTGCCGCCCAGGCAAAATGCGATCCAATGATACTGGCGGCCTTGCTGTATGTAAATCTCCCAGGAGACGCTGGAATATATCGCTTTCCGCCAGCCTCGGGCCGCAAAAGGGCCTCCACGTGAGCTTTCGCAAGGTCGCGAACGTCGATCCAGAATGGTACCCGGGCAACTGGGAGCGGGGTTTCGCCGCTGGCTATTTTGAAGAGCATCTTGTTTGACTCATTGAGAGCGTCGACATTCCCAACGGGATGCCGTATTGGACCAAACGTCATGGGCGGGCAAAGGGTTACCAGGTCGAAGGAGGGCTTCTCTTTAGCGACGAAGTCCCAAGCTTTGAGTTCTGCAAACTTTTTGGATCCACGATATGCGATTACAGCACTTGTTTCAGGGTCTACCGACTCTTCGTATGACAGAGGGTTCCAGTCATCACCAGTGTAAGTGAAGTACGGTGGTGCCTTGCGCCCAGCGTCAAGGACAGATGCAAAGGAAGACGTGACGACGATGCGCCTTACTTTCGGCGACGTGGCCGCTGCCTTGAGTATAGACTCAACACCATTGATCGCTGGTATAACCAACTCTTTCTCGTTGTCTTTGGTGTCATATGTGAAAGGCTAGGTGAGGTCAGAATCTGTGTCATATTATTCAGGTCTTTAATAGCACGTACACTTGCCACATGAATAACGGCGTCAATGTCCTGAATAGCCTCCACAAATCCTCCTGGGTTCTCAAAGTCGTCAATCTGAACGAAATCGAGCTTCTCTCGAAACTCGGGCCTCATATCAATCATAGCCTTCCCCTTGGATAATGATCGAGTAGCCCCGCGGACTTTGATACCACGCAACAGAAGCTGGTCGACAACATGTGCACCAATGAACCCGGTGGCACCAGTCACCAAGACGTACTGTCTGAAGACTCGAAATTAATATCGGTCGATTCATTATTACTATACAGAAAAGTTTCAACATACATTGCTGGAAGAGAAGAATCCATCTTGGACAAGATCTGACGAGGAGCGTTAGTAACAAAGTGTAAAAAGGTTGCAAGTTATCACTAAGGACTTTACACAATTTGCCATTATGACTTTATCTGTGAGTTCGTATGGAGCTGGCCACTGTCTGTATCAGTTGTGACGTACCGCTTCATAAACTTACAATGAGGGGTCTTGGCTGTCGGTTGATAATGTGCCGCCTACCCCCGCAAGCTACCTGATGATGGAAGTGATGGCGGTCTGCCGCCTACACCCGCTGCCAAGGGTCCTTGCACACACCATGACCAATGCTGGCCTAGCTCGTGTCGAAGCGGTTAATGCTACCCGGATTTAATTCCTCGCTCGCTGCTCTAACGCAGCCTACGCCGAAGCGTGCATCGTCGATGGGTTGTCTGATAAATTTCCCCGCACAACTTGCCATTAGCTCGGGGTTCCCCAGACCAGACCCCAGACCCCAGACCCCAGACCCGAGCGTCTGGCAACCCATCCAGCAAAGGCGACTGATATCTAGATGGCGTCCCTGTGATTATTATAAATGGCAACATTTCGTCACTGCATCTGCTGCTTGATTTCATTATCATCTTCTCGACATTGTCTTCTCTTCACGTCACCAATCTTCAATGGCTTTGGGTAATCTCAGTGGCACGCCGCTTTTGGTGTGCGTGACACTTGTCAATGCTGGTCAGTGACTTGGTAACTCTATGATGCACTCAATGCTGATGCGTCTACATAGTCTCCATGTCATGGTTTGGTTACGACCAGGTAAGCTAGCGCATGTCTTATCTGATCCAGGAAATCGCTCATCGGCGGTCGATTAGGGTGTCTTCTCATCAGTTCTGATCTCAGCCGACTTCAAGCACTGGTTTCCTGAGACTAAGGTCGCGAGTATCTCTGGGATTGTGTCCAGTTGCTTTGCAGTAAGTTGACGCGCCATATGGAACCCATAGTAGATACTCAACTCCGTTGTCAGCTGGGAGCTTTCTTTGGGGCAGTCTTTGCCTTTGTTTGCGGTGACAAGTTAGGGCGTAAGAAAACCATCTGGGTTGGTCTCCTGAGCAACCTCGTCGGTGCTGTGCTTCAGATCGTATCGTGGCATCTTCCTCAGATGATAGTCGGTCGTGTCATCAACGGTTTTGGAATGGGTATGTCTTCGATGGTCATCTTCTGTACGCAAGTCGTATTCCAATCTAACCTCTTGGCTGCTAGGCGTCACCTCATCAACCTGTCCCGTCTATCAGGCCGAATGCTCCAAGCCTCGCGTTCGAGGTAAACTCGTCGTCGTACAGTCCCTATGCAATACCGCCGCCTTTTGTCTCGCCAATTGGATGAACTACGCCCTAGGCGTTCGAAGCGGTCCCATTCAGTGGCGTTTCCCCCTCGGCTTTCAGCTCCTGTTCCCCTGCGTCATCGCCGTTGCCCTGTTGTTTGTCCCCGACTCGCCGAGATGGCTGATGCTCAAGGACCGACACGACGAGGCTCTTGTTGTGATAGCACGACTTGCTGGCAGGAACGCGACCACCGAGGACCTGGATGTCGTGACCGAGTTCAGGTCTATACAAGCTACTATTCAACAGGAGCGGAATGAGACTGTATCCACGATTGATATGCTCAAGTGCCGCGACAAGACTCAGAACCTTCGCAGGATCCTACTATCATGCGGTACACAGTTCATGCAGCAGTTCTCAGGGGTCAATGCTCTCGGATACTACCTTCCCACCATGCTACAGCAGGTGCTTGGCTACAGCGCGCGCCGAAGTCGCCTCCTCACTGGTGTCAATGGCACTATCTACCTATTCGCTGCCATTTGCTGTCTGTTCATCATTGATCGCTTTGGTCGCCGAAAGTACGTATTCACCGAGCCCATGAATGATCTGGTGACATACTGATCTTGCTAGGATGATGCTGTACGGAGCAGCGACAATGGGCTCTTGCTACATGATTGTGTCTATGACTCTCCTAGGAGCCAAACATAACCCGGGTATGAAGGAGAGGGTATGTGATGGAACGGAACCACCCAAACTGATAATAAACAGCTGACGTTTTCCATAGCTCGGTGAAGTTACCACTGCCTTCTTCTTTATTTACTACTTCTGTTACGGTACCAGCTTTGCCAAAGTGCCCTGGGTATTCAACTCGGAAGTTAACTCTCTCGGTTGGCGCACTCGAGGAGCTGCCGCTGCCACCGCCACTAACTGGATGGGTGGTTTCATCGTTACTCAATTCACCAAGACTGGCGTTGACAATCTCAATTGGGGCTTCTTTCTCTGTAAGTAATCAAAAGAATGCACCCTTAAACGAACGAGATGCTTATCAAACATAGTATTTGCTGGCTTTTGCTACTCCTACTTCCCGATCGTTTACTTTCTGTATCCAGAAACTGCTCGTCGTACCCTGGAGGACATGGACCAGATCTTCATACAGAATCCAGGTCTGATCGTCTGCCGCATTCCAGAGCTCACGCAGAGAGAGCGTCCTCAGACTTTAATTAATCTTGAGCAAAAGCGAGTTGAGAAGGCAGAGGTGGCTCATGTTACTCATGTGGACTAATCAGCTTTACTGTCTGAGTCCCGACATGCACTATATTTAGAATTATTTATAGTTCATTCTGGTCGAAATCGGGGGCTCATCACACGAATTTACCTAAACTGCACACAGGCGGCCCGAGCCTCAGCAGATAGCCTGAGCTTATCTTTCCGGAATTTCTGTCTATGCATCTCGTTTCAAACGCTCAAAGTCATCCAACACTTTACTGCAGTCCAACTGTGCTCCAGTCCCATTCTTCATCATCCAAATACCTTCTGCATGGCGCTCCTCGGCAATTCTCTTACGTGTCGAGCTATGTATAGCTGTACGCAGACTCTTGCTGATTCCTGCACTGGGATATGCAAACACTCCAAACATTCCAGCACCACTTTTAGCCACCAGACTCATCGCTCCCTTTCCTAGCCCTTTGGCAGCACCCAGTGCACCCTCTTTCTTTGCGCCTTTGTACGGTTGTATCACGACGTCACTTAGACCATCGATGAAGCCCCATGCGAATGTTTTCCCTGCCACTACCATGCCACTCTTGGCATCTGTCACTGGCCCATGATTGCGTACATTGTCGCCATAGACTTTTGGTACCGATTTTAAACCCTCGGTTATGGCAAGTGGAATATCCACTAGCATGCCTTTCGTAGCTGTTTGGCCGATTTTGCTAGCGCTTTTAGCTGAAGCTCCAGCCATTCGACCGGCGAGGTTGCCAGAGTGCGAGCTCCTCGGTCGTACTGAGTCATTTGAGAGACGGTCTACGCTGAGGTGATGTTCATCACTATGCTTTTCCCGAATAATTGGAAGACCTCGTGCCTGGGCATACTTCAGCTCTCCAGCGCGCCGCTTCTGCTCGTCTCGGTATTCTTCGATCGGCTTTGTAAAGATGCCTGTGATGCCGCCAGCCATTCCGGTTGCCGTTGACATAACGGCAGACGCGCCTCCTGAAACAGGATCCCACCGGGTAGTTTCAGTCTCGATGGGATTGCTCCGGTACCTGTAAAGAGTAAATCAGTCGCTATTCCAATGATCAATCATGTAAACAAGAAGACTAGGTACTCACAGTTTCAGGTGTTTGCTATCAATTGACTTGGTGGAGATTAAAATCTCTGCAGCGATCTTGGATAGCTTGATTGACTTCTTCGACTTGGAATATGACCATACGGCAGGTTCACTTGGGATTACATCGCATCGAATTCGCTCCAAAGGGAGGCCTTTGTGGAACGACTGTACAGCAGCACGAACTCCGACCTCTGATGACATCTTGTCGGCTATGAGCGCGGCTGCAGTTGCGGCCTGTGGAGATAGACAGTAGTGAATGGCTGCAGTGAGGTTGTCGACCGTGAGGTCTGTATGAGGTATCGGATCGGGTCCTGCGCCTGCGTTGGCCACCATCTGTCCCCAGAAAGGCTGGCTATAAAACGGAAAATTAGTATAGAAGACATATTAGAGATGGAAATCTCATCGACTTACTCGCCAAAGAAGGGAACTATAGTTGTTGGCTTTCCATTTCTCAATCCACATGCTGTTGTTCCGGCACCCCCATGATGAATGACTGCTGCGACGTGCTGGAAGAGCCATTCGTGAGGACAGTCTCCTATCCAGTATACGTTTTCTTGGTCAGAGCCTACCAGGTCAGACCAGCCTTTAGAGATGATAGCACGAGCGCCAGTGGTCTCAACCGACTCTAGTATAACACCGATGATCTTCTCGGGGTTATCTAGGACAATACTACCAAATCCGATGTAGACCGGAGGCGGGCCATCTTGGATGAATTGGACAAGGTCTGTTGGTGGGCAGTACTGAGGAGGATCGCGGAAGAAGAAGCCGCAGACATCTATAAGAATGTTGGTCATCGTAATAAAGGCATCTCGTCCATACCAAACCCACCTATGTATGGTTCCCAGTCCACAGGCTTCGGGACCAAAGCTGGTGACCAGCAGTATGTGAAGGGGATTTTCAACGTCTTTGTAAGCATAGGAGCGTCAAACATGGCCACCTCCTCTAGGTCTATCGACCTTCTCCACTTGTTGATAATGTCACCTAGCCTTGCCATGAACTTCGTCAGCAAAAGAGTATTCCAGGCGACAAATAAGCTTACCCTTGCCACGTCATCCACTCCACCACTGTGTAAGAGATATAATTCCCAAGCTGAGGATCGCTTCCGACGTTTTTCATATTAGCAAGCGGGTGAGGGAAAGCTCTGGTATTGCTCCACGGCATAGTGAACATGAGGTGCACGGGAATGCCTAGTGCCTGGGCACAATGAATATGGGCGAAGCTGGGAGGATTAGCAATTATAGCATCGGCTACAAAAGGTAAACCAGTCAGTGGGTCTGGTCGTAAACATGAGTGCCAGAATCTTTCAAGCATCCACTGCATCATATCACGCTTTTTCTGAATCTCTCCAGCCGCCAAGCTCTTCATGCTGGGTATAAGACCTGGATTCTTCACCATATAAGCCATGAGCTCA